TAAGGACTAGAACATGTCCCCTGAATTTAGCATCAGCAATTTTGTTGAGAATGCAGGTTTGGTGGAATAATGAGGAGAGAAGTCAGGTTACAGGAAAAGGAATATATGGAACTTGAAGTTAATATCTTCTCAAAGCTTAGCAATGAAGAAACAGAGAGAATCAGGACACCACAGGCAAACAGGATCAAAAAACGATTTTCTAAAACATGGAAGAGCTCTGAACACATTTTCATGCTGAGGAGCAAACTCCAAAAAAGGTGAGGGGGGAATTCAATATAAAGCCAAAAAAGAGAATAAATAACTGATTGAACATCGTCAGTGACAAAGAGAAAGGCAGATGTCTCTGCCACTGAGATGGAAGAAATGAAGATAAGGATAGGAAAAATCGTGTTAATGTGAGGTAGAAGGAGCAAGAGGAGCCCAGGTGGCGCAATGGTCAAAGCTCTTGGCTGCTAATTGAAAGGTTGGTGGTTGGAACCCACCAGCCACTCTGCAGGAGAAAAGACCTGGCAATCTGCTCCTGTAAATATTTACAGCCTAGGAAACCCTACGGGGCAGCTCTACTCTGTCCTATAGGGTCGCTATGAGTCGGAACCAACTCAACAGCATACAACAGAAGCAGCAAGAGGCTGAGGAAAATTCAAATCAATAGGGAAGGAACAGGTGGGGTTCACTGAAAAAAATGAGATTTAAATGGAGATTCAATCAACTATACAACTGATTTGATGACAACTGGCAAAATTCTCTGGAAACACTGGTGGCGAAGTTAAAAGGTTAGCAGTTCGAATCCACCAGATGCTAACTGGAAACTCTATGTGGCAGTTCTATTCTGTCCTATACGGTCGCTGTGAGTCGGAATTGACTCGATGGCAATGGGTTTTTTTAGGGAAAATTCTTTAACCTTCCTTGCCTTTGTTTTCTTTTCAAAACGTAGTTGTCTACCTTAAAAGAAAGATTCTGAGGATTAATTAAAATGTCTGTACGAAGTTCCTTAGAAATCAAGGTTTTATAACCACTAGATAATTCTGAGATACTACTGCTTATTTCAGGAGTCCCTGGGTGGTGCAAATGGTTAAGCGCTGGACTACTAACCAAAAGGTTAATGGTTCAAACCCACCCAGAGACACCTCGGCCTGACGATCTGCTTCCGAAAGGTCACAGCCTTGAAAACCCTGTCAAGGGGTTTTACTCTGCACACTCGGGGTCACCACTAAGTCAGAATCAACTCAATGGCAACTAACAACATTTATTTCAAACTAAGTTAATATAACTAAAAATCGTGCATACTAAAAAACTTAATATCCCTGGAAAATTGCATTTTCAAACCTTCTGCACTTCTTTGTAAACATTAAGACTAAACAAACTTCTATAGAAAGTAAAACCCAAATGATTAGGAAAGATAGCTTTTATATTACTAATTTCTACTGAGGTTTTACTTTTTAAAAAATCTAAGTGCACTCCACCTCTTCATGAACTATATACCACTAATGTTAACTAAAGAAGAAAACTGTTTTTTAAAAAAGTCATATATTAGGCAGTGAATGTCATTATTGATGCTTAAATATAACACGATTTTTCACAGAATTTATCAAATAATTTACCGGCTTAGACACAATCAACTCTACCTTTACTTTAAATGTCGGGTTTCTCTCCCACATCCTTTTCTCTTCATGTCTATACCCTTTTCCCTTCAAAATCCAGAACCCAGGTTTTCATCAATCCAAACCTGATACTGAGCTTCAGCCACTAATCCTACTGACTAGGCCATCTAAATCAGAAAGAACCAGTCACCCAAACTCAACATGTCACAAACTAAACCCCTCTATCCCTCTTCCTTGACAGAATAAAAATCCCACTCCACACTCATGTGGTTCCCCACCTCAGTGAAATGAACAAGCTAAAAATCTGGGTCTTATCCTCTAAGCATCTTCTCCCTAACACCAAATACAATCGAATCAGAGCCCTGTCAACTCCCATTACCCAAGTCTAGACCCACCATCATCATTTGCCTACCCTTCTGGTAGTCCTGCCTTTAGCTTTATTCACCCGTCAATCCACCATCCTCAATGCAGCCTAAGCAACCTTTTTAAAAATGAAAATCTGATCATTTCAGTTCCCTGCTTTATATCCTTCAAAAACTTACCCTATAAATATAACCATTGTCAAAGCTGTCACACCATGGAAGCTCAGAGGCTCAATAAGAAATTTACTTTAGTTATATTCTTTTTTTATGGAGACACAACACAAAAAGAATCATTGGGAAATTTTTTTCAAATCCCAAAAATTATTTAAACATACATATACCATTAACTGCTGACACATTTAAAAGAAAAGCATGAAGTATTATTTGTAGACGCAAAAGACTAAAAATAACCTCAAGTCCACCAAAATGGAATACTACCCAGCCATTAAATAAGGCACTTCTACATGCACTGTTATTAGATGATCTCTAGGAGATCATTTAATCATTAAATGATCTAAAGGAGCCCTGGTGGCACGGTGGTTAAGCATTCAGCTGTTAACGGAAACATCGGCAGTTCAAACCTGCTAGCCGCTCCACGGAAGATGAGGCAGTCTGCTTCTGTTGCTATGAGTCGGAATCAACTTGACAGCAACAGCATGTTTTTTTTTTGTAGGACCAAATATTATTACGTGCCCAAAAAACACAGTGTATAGTATGCAACTATTTGTATGGTGTGTGTTTTAAGAATATAAATGTATAAGCTCATATCTGCTGGAAGTATCAAGGAAGGCTACACAACAAGCTGGAAATAGTGATTGACTCTAAAGAAGGAAACTGCGTGACTAGAGGACAAACGGAAAAGAAACTTTTTACTACATACTCCTTTGAACCTTTTGACTTTTATACCACATCTAGTTATTATCTATAAATAATTTTAATATGATTTTCTCCCTCTCCGACCCCCCCCAACACATACACTCAAAAAATAAAAATTATTCACTGCAAAGACCGCTCTCTACTTCATTTTCATCCCTTCAAGGGAACTGCTTAAATAATGCCAACCTTAAAATTATGCATTAATCATCTGATGCAACATTACATTTCTTTCTTGACAGCTCAGGACTTCAACTTCAACAAACAATATCTTATTCAGTATTTTACTACTGCTGAGAAGGCTGCTGATAATGACATCAATGAACATTGCATGATTTTTGGACTCGCTCCTTGGAGAAGAAGACAGCACCACAGCAGCACCAAGTAGCAAAAATTTATTATGAAACTGACATTAAAATCTTTACAGATTAAGGAAAGTTGCAAGTCTTATTTTTCCAGCAAATCCAAAAACATCATCAAAAAAGTACCCTAGTCCCCTTCAAAAACAGAGCAAAAGATCTGTAAAAAGCTACAAGGGGAAGTAAATGATACTACAGAAACATGGTTACACCAATTAGGGTAACGTGATTTAATCCTTACAGAGGCCCCTAAAATGTCAGATCTGGGCTACCTCACACGTTGTACTGAAGAGACGGACGAGGAGCAGCCTGTGTGACCTTGTAACAAACACCTCCTGCCCTGTGCTTCCCTCTCCCTCCCTCAGTCGCCAGCTCAAACCCTCCAAACGTAGGTCTCAGTTGGTCCCCTTAAGCCCCACTGGGGAGAATACACTAGGCTAAGCAAACATCCCCTCCGGATTCCCTGGCAAAGCCCTTTCAACTAAAGAAAGGATCACAACTGGGGAGAAAGATAACAGGTTTGCCGGAATCTGTGGGAGGGGAGAGGCCGATGCCTGTGACCGTGTCTAAAGAAGAGGGGCTGAGTTCAGATCAACTGGGAGAAAAGAGCATCGAGAAATACACTATCTTAAAGTCGTGATGGGTCAGGGAAGACATAGTCGGCTTGGCGGTGAGCAGCTGTGAGGGGGTCTGTTGGGGAGCGGGGGTGGGAGCAGCAGCGACGGCTGCCTTGGAGGAAGGGGTCGCAATGGGTTGCGGACGGCCGTGACTGGGTCTCAGGGGAACTGTAATCGGGTCGGCTCATAGGAGATGTAACTGAGTCTGGAAGCTCCATTAAAGGTTCTAAGAGAGTCTGAGCAGAATCGCCGCGGAGGCAAGAGGGCCGGGATAGTGTCCGACCAATGGAAAATACGATGGGTGGGGTCTACCGGGACCCGGGCCGAGATGGAGTGTTTGGGAGGCTCCCGGGCAGACCCGTTCACGGGGCGTCTCCGCTGGGGCGGGGCGGCCCTGCAGAAGCCAAAGAGCAAGACGGAGACGTGGGCCGGACCGGGCAGCCGGGCCTCCGGGCGGCTTGGGCGGGTCTTACCTCGGGCTCCGCCGCTGCGACCACCACAGTCCCCTCTTCGTCGGCGGAAGCCGCCTCCCAGCCTCGGCCCCAGAGTCAGGCCGGAGGAGGCGGCTGACGCGGATACCACTGAGGGTCGGACGGTTTCGGGAGGGTGGGCCCGGCTGCTTCAGGGTCCCGGCGAGGGGCTGCCGCGCATCCCCCGCCCTGTCAGAAAGACTCCGCCCGGCCTGGGCAGGCACATCCCCCGCCGCACCCAGACCAGAGAGCACGCGTTGGACTGCCGTCTCAACCACTGTCGCCTCTTCTGCCGGTGCAGCGGATACAGCCTCCGCCGCCTCTCACTGTCCTGGCTGGACTGAACAGCCACAACCAACTGCCGCCGCGTTCCTCGTCGGCTACGGCCCGCGCGCCCCCGACGCCCCGCACGCGGCCCCGCCCCGCGCGACTCCTCGGCTGCAGGCGAGCAGGCGCGCGCGCACTTACCTCCCACGCCCCCATCGACCGCCCCGCCCCGGCCCGCCCACGCACGTGACGCCGCCGGAGTGTACTACATGCGCTTGCGTGGACCCGCCCCATTTCTTCCGCCCCAGGCAGCCCCTCCCAAACTTTTCTTCCTCACCTTACGGTAGAGATGGAGACTGCCTTAGCTTTTTCCCTCTAATAGAGAGGAATGTCGCAAAGTTGAGGACGAAAACTCTGGGTTTGCGACTGTAGCTCTCGCTTTCCGGTCAATACGGAGACGCTGAAGGCTGGTTGGGGTGGTGAGGCCCGAGGCAGGTAAGAAGCCGCCTCTCTACTTCGGTTTGTCTGTGAGTTTATCCTGGCACTGGCTCGGTTTGCCGTCCATACAGACTCTGGCGTTTCCGTGCCCCCTCCCCATTCTGGCGTTGGGTTCTCAGTGCCGCCCCTCCTAGCCTCCGCCCCTTTCCACATACACACCCGCCCCCTCCGCCCGCATGTCCCCGCCCCTGACCTCCGTTTTCAAGTCTTCCTCTTCATTCAATCCTCAGACTTTCACTTGAGTACTTTCCATGCCTTAGGCTCCGGAAAATCCCAGGCGAGTAAAATAGTCTCAGCTTTCTGAAGTGCCGTGTAGTATGGGACACGACGAGAGAATCCGTAGAATAAAAATTGTAATAGAAAAAAAAGCACAGGATGCCCTCTGAGCACAGAAGGAAAGAAAACATTTGCCCAGTGGAATCGATTCCAACTCATGGTGATCCCATGTGTGTCACAGTGGAACTGTGCTCCGTAAGGTGTTCAGTGGTTGATTCTTTGGAAGTAGATCGCCAGACCTTTCTTTCCACGCGCCTCTGGGTGGACGCCAGCTGCTAAACTCCAGCCTTTGGGTTAGCAGCCGATCAATCAACCGTTTGCACTACCCAAGGACTCCTGTTTCACTCTTTCAAAGACTATTAAAAGACTAGTGATCATTAGCTGAACAAGGAAATGAGAAAGGAGGCGGAAGCAGAGAGAATAACAGGGGCAAAAGCATATGACAGTATTGTCCTGGAAGAGTAAAAAGTTAGGAATGTCATATAGCTGCTGGACACCATGCTGGTGTAAACTTCTCTTTAAGGAAGCATTCTTGTAAAGGATAAGAGAAAATATAGGCGACAAGGAATTTTTTTAAGATAGGAGACTCGGGCAATTCAAGGGAGAACTCATTGCCATCCAGTCGATTCCAACTCATAGCAACAAGGTAGAACTGCTCTATAGAGTTTCCAAGGAGTGGCTGCTGGATTTGAACTACTGATGTTTTCGTTAACAGCATGAGCTCTTAACTACTGTGCCACCAGGGCTCCAATTCAAAGGAGATAGAGGCTAATTTATAAGATCAAGATTTGGAAGCAGAACACTAGTGAAACCTTTATCAGTGTAGTCTCAACCTTGTATGTACCTTATTATCACCTCGGAAGGTTTTTTTTTATCCAAAATAATACTGTTGCCCCATGCTAGACCAATTAAACTCTAGATTAGGGTCCAGGCATCAGTTTTTGTTTGTTTGTTTAATGCTGCCCAGGTGACTCTAATGCTCAGGGTTGAGAACCACTAGACTAGAGAGAAGGGAAGTAGGGAAGGGCAGAAAGTTGGGGGAGTTGACACTGTGAAATGTAAGAGGGGGGTTATTTGATGAAAGAGAGAGTTAGGGATGGGACAAGAAACTTGAGCAGAGCAATAAAAGATTTGAATAACTGCTCTGGGAAATGGAGAAAGAGCTGCTCCTGCTTTCCCCTCAGCGGAGTTCCATCCCTCACTCTTACAAGAACTGCTTCAGTTACTGCCCTCATCCTTTTCCTTTCCCTTCCATCCAGTATTTATCAGCTGGGAATCCACCCTTAGAGTTCAGGTTTTATATATCCTCACAAAGAGCAGAGCTAAGCCAATTTATGCTATTGAAAAACCAACTTACATTCCCCTAAAGATTACTACACACAGTACCTTGCCAGTTTAGAATCTGTCTTCTATTAGTCATTCATTAATCTTTTAAGAAGTAACAACTATAAGTGAAGACTGAGATGTAAAGATGTATAATATACAGCCCTAGTAGATTTAAAAAAAAAAAAAAGAAGTTGGTGTCAAATATACTCCAAATCATGGCAACCCCCATATATGTCAGAGTAGAACTGTGCTCCATAGGGTTTTCGGTGGCTGATTTTTCTAAAGTAGATTGCCAGGCCTTTCTTCCAAGATATCTCTGGATGGACTTACAGCCAAGTGTGTTAACCATTTGCACTACCCAGGGACTCCGGTCACAAAGTATTGGGGAAAACAGACCTTTAAACAAAGAAGAGTTCAGTTGGCAGACAGAAAAGAGCAGTTAAGGCAAAGCCCAGAACAGTGCATGCTACTGTCTATTGTTAGCCACCATCAGGTAGGCCCCCGACTCATGGCGACCCCATGCACAACTGAAGGAAACACTATCCAATCCTGCACCATCCCCTTGATTGATTGCAGATTGGGCCATGTGGTCCGTAGGGTATTTATTGGCTGATTTTCAGGAGTAGATCGCCAGGCCTTTCTTCCTAGTCCATCTTAATCTGAAAGCTCTTCTGAAACCTTTTCAGCATCATAGCAACACACAAAGGACCACTGACAGAAGGATGGTGGCTGCACATGAGGGTTAACTAGGATTAATCCCAAAACCTGTCTATCTAAGTCCAGATAAGAGTTACTATTGTGTGCTATGGCCAGAGCATAGTATGGAGAGTAGGGGTGGGGCAGAGATAAAGGCAATAAAGTGGGGTATGAACAGATTGAGAGGAGCCTAGAATTCCATACCAGAAAGTTTAGGTTTTACACTATAAGCAATTAATAGGTATAAATAGTAGAGGTTCTTAACCTCTTTTATGCCATGGACTGCTTTGGCATTCTGGCCTGTGGCCCCTATCTCAGAATAATGTTTTTAAATGTAGAAAATAAAATATATAGAAATATAAAGGAAACCAATTTTATTGAAACCATTTTCAAAATATTAAATGTGTAAGTTATATATGTGCTTCTTTATGCATTATATAATACCTGGCAGGGGTCTAATTATGTAATCACAAAGTAATAATCAGTTTAAATAACATTCTTGAGATATTTGTATCTCAACTTTAATGTGATTTGAAAATATCTGAGATTTCTAACGCTGACAGAGACTTAGAATGGCTAATATGGTTTATTGCCTACACTTGTAATTGAAGAAAATGTTAAATTTCAGCCAGAGATTATTGAAAATAAATGTAACTTTTTTCCCAGTCCAAGTTCATGGGACCCTTAAATTCTAGCCACAACCTGGCCCATAAATCCCAGGTTTAAAAGAACCCTTGGTGTAAAGGTTTTAAGCAAGAGCATAACAGATCAGATCTGTGTTTCAGAAAGGTACTAGAGCAGTGTTCACTTCCCATCCTCTCTTTTGGGATAGAGTGGGAAGTTATGTACTGGCTCTTTTCTTCTCCTGTTCCTCCTATACCTCAGTGGTAGTGACAAAAGTACTAATCTACAGCTGCCCAGCAATCTGGGCCTCTAGGGGGGATGACCTTGTAAGTGTGTAAGTATATGGGAGCAGTCAAACCACTGCTGTTGAGTCAATTCTGACTCATAGCGACCCTATAGGACACAGTAGAACTGTCTCAGGGTTTCCAAGTCTGTAAATCTTAATGGAAGCAGACTGCCACATTATTCTCCCACAGAGCTGCTGGTGGGTTCAAACCGCCAACCTTTTGGTTATTGGTTGGCAGCCAAGCGCTTTAATCATTGTGCCACCAGGGCAGTACTAGGAGATAACCCAGGAAAGGTAGACTGAGTCTATTTTTGTGGAAATCCTTGAAAGCCAGACTGTAATTTGTACTTACTTAATTTGATGGATGATGGAGAGATGTTGAAATTCTTGGAGTAGAATAATGTAATTAGAGTTCTATTTGAAAAATTAGTTTTGTAGTAATGTGCAGGTTAGATTGTCAAGGGAGACGATAGGCATGAAGAGACTAGACAAATGAATAAATCTTGTATGTATTTGTAGCCTTTTCAAACCTTTTCAAACAGTATTGTTTGCACATAGCTACCATGTGTTGAACACAATGTTCTTAGTCTCCTAGTGCTGCTGTAACACAAATACCATGAGTGGGTGGCTTTAAAGAACAGAAATGTATTTTCTCACAGTACTAGAGGCGAAAAAGTCCAAATCAGTCTTGGCCATGTTACTTCCTTCTTTATCAACAGCCCTGGGTGTTCCTTGGTGTTTCTTGGCTTGTGGATACTCCTCACATGATATCTGTCTTCGCTCATGTGTATTTTTGTGTCTGTCCTGGTCTTTTTACAACTCAAAGGTGACTAGGTTTAGGATCCACCCTGTACTGGTATGGCCTGATTAACATAACAAAAGAAAACCCCTCTTTCCAAACAGAATCATATCCACAGGTACTGGGGTCAGGAATTCAACACATATTTTGAGGATACACAGTTAAATCCATAACACAATGATTTATTTATGAAATCAAGCAAATTAGGATTTTAGCTTGACCATACTTTAACAACCTTTATTTATTAATATATGTTGTTGTTAAGTGCTTTCAAATTGTTTTTGACTCATAGCAACCCCACGCACAACAGAAGAAAACACTGCCTGGTCCTGTGCCATCCTCACGGTCAGTGCTGTGTTTGAGCCCATTGTTGCAGCCGTTGTGTCAATCCATTTTGTTGAGGGTCTTCCACTTTTTCACTGATCCTCTACTTTACCAAGCCTGATGTCCTTTTCCAGGGACTGGTCCTTCCTGATAACATGTCCAAAGTAAGCGAGACAAAATCTCACTATCCTCACCTCTAAGGAGCATTCTGGCTGTACTTCCTCCAGAAGAGATTGGTTCGTTCTTCTGGCAGTCTGTGCTGTATTCAGTATTCTCCACCAACACCATAATTCAAATGCATCAATTCTTCAGTCTTCCTTGTTCATTGTCCAGCTTTTGCATGCACATGAGGCAACTGAAAATACCATGGCTTGTGTCAGGTGCACCTTAGTCCTCAAGGTGACATCTTTGCTTTTCAACTGTTTAAGGAGGTCTTTTGCAGCGGATTTGCCCAGTCCAATTTGTTTGATTTCTTGACTGCTGCTTCCATAGGTGTTGATGGTGGATCCAAGTGAAATGAAATTCTTGACAACTTCAGTCTTTTCTCCGTGTATCATTAAGTTGCTTATTGGTCAGGTTGTAAGAATTTTTGTTTTCTTTATTTTGAGATGTAATCCATACGAAAGCTGTAGTCTTTGATCTTCATCAGTAAGTACTTCAAGTCCC